GGCGCCGCCTCGGGGTGGCCCCGACGCCCCTTGTGCGCCGCCCCCGCCCCGCTCGGGACGCTGCGGCCCGGGACGCGGTGCGCTCTGCGAGCGGGTCGCTGCCCAACGTCCTTCAGGGGGAAACAGTCCGGGAGGGTTCGCAGCGCAATTGGCCACATCACAGCCCAGCCCTGCGCTCCCGGGGCGAGCCAGGGTCCCTTCGCTAATCGGGCCAAACGGATCCGGGGTCCTGGGAACTGGTTTGGTTCTGCCGAACCCTGAGGGGGGGAACCGGTTCCCCAAGAGCATCCGGGGCATGAAAACAACCTGCCCTGCCCCCCCGCCCCGGCTGTGCCTAGCAGTGTCCTCCTGGCGAGCCCAAACGAACTTCCCCCTTGCTTAGCGAGCTCGGGAACAATTCTGCGCCCCGAAGCCCTAGACTGGCCTTGGAAAGCCGCATGGGGACCCACACATGGGTTCTCGGACAGGGGCTCGTGGGCTCGGGCTAACATGGTAGCCCCAGGCTCGTGGTTTAAAGCTTCCATTGCAAAGCCGATCTTACCCGGCTGGTCGGAAGATGGGTGGCTGTTTATATTATAACAGGGGACGGGGGATTTTTTCCCCCTTTCGATTCTCCTCTTTCCGGCCGAAAAGCTGGCAAGCCCCGGCAAAGCTTTTGTTGTTAGCCCCGCGTTTCTGATTAGCGAGACCTAAACCAAAGCCGCAGACATTTTCCCGTCTCCCACTTGCAGGTCGGAGTCTGTTTTTTAAAATCACCGACGCCGTAGAGACACGAGCCTTGGGCGCTGGGAAGCGACTAAATTCCACAAACGCTTCTGTTGCTAGAACGCGTTAAAAAAACCCACCGCCAGCGATTTGTTCGCACCCAGCCTTTTGAAGCTACCTGCTTACAAGAAAATTCTTTAAATCCGATTAAGAACCGCAGAAAGGGCTTTGTGCTGTGGCTGGGTTTTCATCTTTTAATTCGGAGCGTGAGAAGGCAAAAATAGTGTAAACCCTAAACGGCCGTTTAGACGGTTCCTGATTGCTGAGCGATTAAATCTGATTTCCTCCCCCAACTATTGCCTACACTCTGGGGACATGGGACAGGGATCCGCTCACCTATTACTTTCCTGGGGTCGGTCCCAAGATATGAAACTTTCTATCCTTCCATTTCCACGCTAGCGGGAAACACCAAGACGACCCGAGCGTGACTTTTCTTTAAGCGGGGATTTCGCAGGTGGGAATCGAGGCAAACTTGAAACGACCGGCAGAGATTCTGAGCCTTCCGGGCTCACCGATCTCCGGCAGTCCTTTCTAAGGAAAGTTTGCCCACCATTGCCAGCCGAAAGAGCCGCTCGCGGTGAACAGAGGACCAGAGAGCCCGCCCGCTAGGTTTGGAAATCGCTCCGTTTCCCTGCCCGTTCACTCCGGTGTTGAACCGAATCGAACCGACTCCTGGTTCATCCTCCCGCCCGCAGAAGACCATAGAAAAACCTTTGGGGTTGGCGGGGTTGACAGTTCGCTCCGGAGTTGGGACGGGACGGAGCCCTGTTAGGGAATGCGGGGGAGAAGAGGGTAATTAATAAGAGCGCAACGAGGCAGGCCAAGCGCAGCCCCTCTGCACTGGGTCCTTCCCGGAGTGCGACAGCTGGAACGGGGGGTAACTCGCCTGCAGCCCCCAGGCCGCCTCCTGGGACTGCAGCTTGGGGCGAGATCCGATCATTGCTAGGAGACAGAGAAGGTTCTCCAGCCGGGCCAGGTGAAACTGACACGCCCTGGCTTGTCGGCGGACCCCACTCCGGCACCAGCCCCCTCTGCAATCAGAGGCAGCTGCCCTGCGCATCGCTCCGCCTCGATTGTCACCTCGGCGGGGCAGGGAGCTGGCCTCACAGGTGCCCCAAAAAGCAGCTACCGCTGCGGGCCAAGGCGGGGGTGCGTATTCCACCACCACCGCCAGGCCCGGGGCGTTCGGCCGAGCGTTAGCGAAGGTGGAAAGGATCCAGGGTGAGTGTGTAGCTCTGCCAGTGCAGTCGCTGGAAAGGCCCCGCGCCGGCAGCAGTGGCGCGGAAAGTGAAAGGGCTGCCAAGTAGGGGAGCCGAGAGGTTGCACGTGGTGCATCCAATGCAGAAACAGCACCCTGGCTTCACGTGCACTTTGGAATAAACCCCCCGGGGAAATCCCTTGCCGGAACCAGCCCAGGGAGGTGCCACCAGGAGCTCAGCTGGGCCCAGCTTCTCCTGGAGAGTTTCTCAGGGAAAGGGGGTGTGACTGCCCTTGGGGTTTCCCCATCTCCTGCACCCCCGTAGTGGCACCAACAGACTCCACCAGCCAGTAGAATAGAAGATTATTGCTTCTCCAGGATACAGCACAGCACAGATGTAACCAGGTTACAGGAACTGGGGCAAGGAGGCCTCAGTGCCCCCCTTGAGAGGGGGCGTGCTGGGGGCCCCCCAAACCCCACCCCCCCCCC